AAAGATCCTCTTTTGTTTTGGTTGGACAAGAAGAAAATCAATGAACGGACAAAGCTTAGAGTTTGAGGCCAACCCAGAAAGCTGTAAAAATATCCAAGTTTCATTTTGTTTCCTCGCCTGCCAAGGAGAATGATGTTTCTATGGAAAGAGGTGAGAAGGACAGTGGTGACAGGGATATGGTGTCCAGGGGGAGGAAAGGAATAATCAGAGCTGCAGAACTTGCTAGTAAGCTCCCATCTCCCAGAGGGGACAGATTAGCTCTGGGGCGTTGATGAGCTGTTGGCCAACTTTGCGGACTGGGAAAGGGACCAGTAAGGGAAGACACAGGATGCGCAGAACTCCTCTAAATTTCCAAAGGAAAAGATGGTGGTTTTTTTCCCAGCTTGAAGTGGATTCTTGGCGAGATGTTCTAGTGATGATGGAGTAGAGGAGTGATGGGCGCAAGACGTGCTGGGTTCCCAGGTGGGAGCCGGCAAACATGGCAGGCAAAGGGGGAGTTTGTTCTCTCTGTCCCTCATCTGAGTAACTGGTACCGAGCGCCCACTATGGTGCCAGGAACAGGGCACGGCGCTTGGGTATAGTCAGGTAGGAGGGGCAAGCACCAAGCATGTGGCACTGATTATTCCAGAAGCTAGAGCTGTGATTTGATACTAAGGGAGCTGGCGTGAGCTGTGAGAGGGGGGAGCCGGTCCAGCCCGCGAACTGAGGGGGGCTTTCCAAGGGCTCGTGCTTCCCACACGCACGTGTGCGATGAGTGGGGGGTAGTTGGTAAAACATGGGGCATAGCGTGCCAGGAGCAGGGGACAGGGTTTGTGAGGGCCCTGAGGGGGTCACTGCACTGGTGGCTTCTCAGGACAGGCTTCCCTGTGTGCCCCCTGCAGAAAGAACAGGTCACCTGGTAGATCCGAACGGGGCAGAAGGATCACATGCCAAGGGTCAGTGCAGCCGGAACTGACCCGTCTGCACCTCTGAACTAGTCCACTCTAACCAAAACCTTGTTCAGGTTCACAGAACGAGCAGCCCAAACCTGGCGTGTGACGGAATTCTGGCTCACGCTGGGTTTCCTGTTCTGACACCAGTCACTGTTCCTGGCTACGGGAACGTGGCTTCTCTGACCCTCCAGGGAAGACAACTTTTGGCCTGGAGGAAAGAGGTGTGCTGCCACTGTTGGTTTCTGTCCTGGCGTGGGGGCCTCCTGGGCATTTACGGTGACAGCGTCACCTGTCTGATCGTGTCTCATGGGGTCCACGGTCAAGGCCAAGCGTCATGACGCGCGTGCTCGGCATCAGTCCATTCCCGCCCTGGAAGAATGCGCCCACACGGAGCCAGGCTCAGCAGCAGCGCCCACCCAGTTCAGGCCTGGGGTAAGTCATGACGTCTGCGCCCCGCTAGCCTGTCTGTGGGATGGAAGCCACAGCCTTTGCACCCAGGAAGGTGACAGGGCTAGGACCGTCTGGGCCTGGAGGAGAGCCAGGGCACACAAGGAAGCGTCTCTGAGGCCTTCATCACGTCCCTAACTTGGCGAGAAGGTCCCACGGTCAACAACCGACTCCACACCCTCTCTTTCCGGCTGAGAGCCCACGAGGGCGCAGACACTGCCTCGTTCACTTTTCTGTCTTGAGCAGGACCACAGGCCCTGGACCCTGGGGGTTTCTCAGGAAACGCTTGCAGAGTGGATGGTTGGAAGTGTGAGTGTTTTAAATATAAGCACAGATGCAGAGGGTGCTTGGAGTTCATTCCAGGCTCCCGAAAGAATGCATTTAAAACAGACCACTGAGGGCTGTCAGATGCAGACAGGCTCCCCGTTACTATGAGTGTGGGATGGAGTCGGGGAAGGACGTGGGGGCTGGGCCGTCCATCTGAGCCCTGCACTCAGGCAGAGCAGGTGTGCCCCTGAAGAAGCATCCGCAGACAGAGCAGGACTGCAAATGCTCTGATCTGGAGCTGGAAATTTCTCTGATCCCCACAAATACAGAGGCAGAGAAATTATCTCATTAAAATAATTTGCCGTCACACTGTGAAGGCAAATGTACTTTTAATTGCCTTGAAAAATGCCAGGCATTTTTTTTTTTTTTTAAATACACTCCATGCCCAGCATGGAGACCCACACAGGGCTTGAACTCAGGACGCTGCGATCAAGACCTGAGCGGAGATCAAGAGTCAGACGCTAAACTGACTAAGCCAGGTCCACACCCCAGTGCCAGTCATTTTTAAGGTGATTATTCCTTATGTGTCAAACTGACCCTTTTGTATTTTACCATTAAGTAGCATCCCTGCCAAAGCAAATCTTGTATGTTACAGGTGGCCGGGAGGCGATCGTCTGAGTTTTAGCCCCAATTGTCCCGCCCCTCTGAGAGTCCTCCCAGACTGCCTGAGCACCCCAGTTAGGAGGAGGTTGGACTGACAACTGGAGGAGGGGAGCCAGTAGACTTATGCGTGGGAGCCCCTCACACCAGCCCTGGGAAGGCCAGTAACATCCCTCGGGTCCACGAAGTCCTCCCAGCCACGCCCGACCTGGAGCCCTCACCAAACACCCAGGAGCTGGTGAAGGAGAATCCGCACACGCTGAGTGCTCAGGGGAGTTCAGCCCACTCTGTGTGGAGCCCAGAGCCCTCCATTTATCACATTTTCCTCAAGGTTCTACGACTCTAACAGCCCAGAAGGTAAAAGGAAGCAGAAGAAGCACTAAGAAGCAAAGCGCAAATGATTGGAGATTCACCTGCCATAACATACACCCCAGAGCGCATTTGTGGCAAAGCCAATGGAGATCCTCATGGTCCACGCTGAGCAGAGAAGCGCCATCTAACCAGGCTTGTGAGAAAAATACGTAGGCGGGCACGTGGACCATCCAGCGCCTGCCTGTCCTCCAAGGTCCCATCTCCATCAGCTGGTCTTACGTGATTCTGAGAGGCAGAGTGCAAGGGGGTGAAGGGGTCCTGGGGTCACTGCGTGGAGCAGTGACCTGGGTCCGTACGTTCAGCCCCGAGGTCATCCACGCACACGGCAGCGCAGTTGGGTAGAGCAGTGATAGAGAGCAAAGGGACACGGTCCCCCATGTGACACTCATCCTGGTCACTCTTGCCCCAGGGCGTCCTGTGAACTGTTCAGGCCGTCAGAGCCTCAGCCGTGCCGTGTAAGCACGTATTGGCACAGACCTTCCCGGGATGGATAAGGCGGGTCACCACGCTTCTACTCACCCAAGAAACAACCAACACGAAGGCTTTTGAAGGCCATTCGAAGCAGCAGAAAGAAAGCAGAGATCATGAGCGAGAACAGCCTGGCCTCGGCCCCCGGCCGGAGCCTGGCGTCCCAGGACGTCTCCTGCAGCAGCCCTGCTCCCGAGCTCCGGTCCAGACGCACGCGGTCCCGGCTGCGCCACCCCAGCGCCCACCGGGCTCCTTCTGGCCCTGGTCCTTCTCTCCCCACTCCATACCCCGCCTCCTTTCTCGCGGCACAACTTCTTGCTCCTCCACACAACTCCCAAACTTGGTTTTTTTCTTTCTTTCCAGAAGGCACGAGCCTGAGGGTTAGGCTTGCTGTGGTCTGCCACCTCCTAGCTGTGCAACCTCAGGCAAGCTTTTCACCTCTTGGGGCCCAGGCTCCTTGGACAGGGTAACAGCTCTTCTGGAAAGATCCAGAAATCCGTCAATGCGCTGGCACATGTAAGAAACAGGTACGGTCCGTGGTCATAAAACAAGTATGTTCAGCATTACCCGAAATAGAGTACAGGTGTGGCTGACATAGCTAATTAGTTCCGATCTGAAGGTGAAGTCATTTGGCAAACGCTTGAAAATCGCAGCTCTGCAGCTCACCTCCCACCCCGCCCCCAAATCCGAGTCAGGGCGGAGATGTCAGATGGATTTCACTCTGAGAACCTCAAACCTCGTACCCTAGGATCCGCGGGGCCATCAGGCCTGACAGCCAACGTCTGGGGTGCCTCCTGGGGGCCGCACACACGCACACAGCCGGGAATGCCTCCCTGTCACACAGGGACAAGCCCTGGGGGTGGCCTGCGAGCAGGGGAGCTGCCAGGCGGTGGGGGGTCAGGCTGTGAGTGCACTGGGTAGCACCGCTGGGCATCTCTGGGCTTGAGTGAGGACTGCCCGTCGTGTCCTGGGCTTGCTGCCTGCAGGGAGCGCCCCTCTCCTCTGCTTCCACGGGCCCCCAGGGGACGGCGGGGGGGCGGGGGCAGCCAGAGAGCCATCTGCCTTCTCAGCAGCACCAGCAAGTCTGCCCTGTCTCGAGGGCCACATGCTCTCTCGTAGCGGATACCTGCTTCCAAGCACTTTCTGTGCCCTAACTGAGCCCTGTCTGCACCCGGTCCTGTGGGACCAAGGCCAAACCACTCGGGTTTGCTGAGCCTCATTCACTTCCCATATGCACTGAGGATCATCTGAGTACTGACCTCTTGAGGTCCATGCGAAAACAGGAGCTTAGCATCTGGAGACTGTCTCCTAGGAAATAATACCTGTCACCAGCCTCCCTATCATTAGCAGAACTCCCCAAACGCACCAGAAATGGGCAGGGGCAGAGAATCAATCCATGGACGGAGAAACGGGTCCCAGAACCCACCTGGCCCGAGAGTCCTTGAGTCTGGGAATCGCACAGTGGTTGTGGCACAAACTCCAATGCTTTGGGGAACGTGAGGGTGACAAACGTGCGGACCAGCCTAACACGCCACGCAAGCAGGAACGGCAGAACCAGGAAGCGTGCGCTCTGCCCAAGGGGCTTCAAACCCAATCATTTCAAACATAATGCCAGCCAAAACAAACAAACAAACATAGAAATTATGCTGAGAGCCTCCATCCAGGCTGAGGGCCACGAGGGTGACACGGGCCCTCTACAGGACACTGCATAGATCCCCCGTGGACCACAATCAGAGTGGGTGACGGAGATGCAGTTCGGGGTTACACGTGTGGTGGGGAGCCCCCTACGTCCCCAGGAGCTGGGCCGTGGGCCGACACCCCACCTGCTGAGGGCCATCTCCTCGGGTCCCTGGGCTAAGGGACGCGGGCTGTCAGCCACCCCTCCCCGCTGCCATCTCGCTGCCTTGTGGCTCCTTGCTGACCCCCTGCTGGCCCCACGCAAACGCTCACATGGTCACTCACTGTCACCTTTCTCAACCTCGCGGCCCCTGTACCGGAGCGGATGGCGTCCATCAGGGCCTGCCTGGCTTCGGCGGGGTTGCCTGGGCTGGACCTGGCTGCCGTCCTGGACGTAGAGGGAGCCTGGGGGGCTGGAGGGGGTGGGGGCGGGGCGGGCAGGGGCTGAAGGCCAAGGTCACGGAGTCCTGGCGGCTCTGATGACTGCTCGGTGTCCCGGAAGCTCCGCAGCTCCTCAGAGGCGAAGGATGACACCTGGAGATGACATGGTTCAATGACAAGGTCCCCGAGGGCCTTCTGGAGGGGCCACCCGCCCACGGCCTCACTTAGCCTGCAGCAAGCCCGGGAGGTGTGCGAGCTCGCTGCCTGAGTTCCCCAGCTGGCGACGGATGGCGGGGCGCGGGGTGGCTGCCGTGCCTTCCTGAGAACTCCCTGACCTCCTGCCTCGCCTTGGCAGGTGAGGACAGACCCGGAGGCCGTCCACACCACTCTGACCAGTTGTCGGGGAGTAAAATACTCATCACACGGTTCCTCGGATTCTGCGACTGGAAGCTGGAGGACGCGGTCCTGCCCCTCAGCTCCGGCCCTCCCGGGCTCCCGAGGCCGTGCCAGATCAGCGCGAGGACCAGCAAATTTGCCCCCAAGGAGAGACAGCCCTGTAGCCACGCTGGGTGCCCGAGAACTCGGGAAACGCTCCGTGCCAGGTGGGCAGGTGGGAAGCGAGGTGGACAGCTCCCGGGTGCCTGGCCCCTCCCACGCAAGGGCTGCCCCTCTGCGCCAGCCTCAGCGGTCCTGGGTTGCCCACCCTGAGGGTGGCTTAGCAGATGCTTAGGACACGGGAGGGCTGCCCCGGCTTCTGCGGCACCCACGTGGGGCGCTCCGGGGAGTGGCCGTGCGCAGCCATCCTGCCACGGAAGGCCTTTCTCTTACCTTCCGCAGGCTGCAGGCACCGCTGTGCCCTCGGATGGCGGACAGCAGTGCGGAGCGCTCGCCCACTGTCTCCGTGTAGGACGGCTTCCTGGGCCCTCCCTCGGAGGTGTCTGCCGCAATCTAGAATATTCAGTGTCGATACACGTCACCCGGAAGGAGAAATGCTAAGTAGGACAGCCTCAGAGCAAAAGCACTACCTGTCAGTTGAGGGCTCTAGGATGGATTATACAGCCCCGTGTTAGAAGGAAGAATGTTTTTGCACGGAACCGTAGTGAGTTAAGATTGCATATTGACCTGAGAGCATCTAACAAGCAAAGGGCAGGTGTGCGGGCTCCCAGTTATGGCTGCTGGCTTTCTGCTCTCCTGACAGTGCTCTGCCTCAGTTCCTCAACTATAAAACGAAGCAGATGGCTCCCAGTGCGGAGCGTTGGTGCCGAGTGCCTGGCTAGGGAGGGAGTGTCCTAAACTGTCCCTATTGCCACTCAACAGTAACAGTATGAGCTGCCGGAGATGCAGGAACGTCAGGCAGGAGTGGTCCTCGCCTGAGTCTTCCCTGACTCACTCCTTCGCTCACCAACCGGTCAGGGATGACCCACCCCTACCTCTCCGCTCCCGTGGGCCCAAGATGTGGACACTTTACTGTCGACATCTTTCCCCAGGGGAGTCAGGGGCGTGAAGGCAGTGGGGACAACCCCAAACCCGTTTTTGTCTCTTTCGTGGTTCTAAACACTCTAAGGCAGTGAGAAGAAGAAAACTCCGGGTGGAAATTAAACCCGAGCATCCAGCTCATTGGTCCGCTAGCCCCACCCCTCCCCCAGGCCCCCTGAGGATCTCTGTGGGTGTGGAAGATGTGCCTATGCCCTAAAGGCAGGTGCCTGGCCGTTCACCTTGCGAAGCCTGTCCTTCCCCCCCGCCGAGTGGATGGCTTCCATGAGAGCGCTGTGCAGCGACGTGTCTTTTGGTGCTGGCCTCTGGACCACGGGTCGGAATTTCTTCTTTGGTCCAAAGATGCTGGGGGGCAGCGTACCGTCGGTCTCGTGTACCTCTGCGCAGGACAAACTGGGCTTTTCCTCCTGTTGTAGGGGCTCCTGTCTGGCATGGTTATTCGTGCTGGACCCTCTCGGAGACTGAGGAGGCTCGGTGTGGATGGGGCCCCACCTGGAGCCATTCACCAGGGTCCTGTCAGGAGTCTGATCATCTCCCGAGCGGGCAGGCGGGCGATTTGTACCATCCAGCGTGCATGTGGGGGCGGATGCTGAGCTGGTCCTGGGGTTGCTGGTGCTTTGCTTTCCACTGAGGCTCCAGCTCTGTGTCACAGAAACGTGATCCCTCTGGGAAGCTGTGACGGGCGGGACGTGGGGACTTCTGTGGACACCAGCAGGACAGTCTTGAGCAGACAGCTTCCCAGGAGGGCTGCTGGCCTGCGTTCTGGGCTGGGCTCCTACTGCCGAGCCTTCCCCATCGGTACGGGAGCGTGTGTCTGAGTACGGGCTGGGGGCTGTACCATCTCTCCTAGCGGGAGGCTGTCCAGCCAGCTCCGGCGCTCCGCCTTCCCGGGTCTCCTCCGCATGGCCTTGCTTCCTCCCCACGCCGGTGTGGGCTTTCGGGGGCCCTATCCGCTTGGCAATGGCAGAGGCCACGTACTGACTGGATGTTCTTCTCTGAGGCTTGAGAAATGGGACTTCCGTGGCGTTCCCTGCTGGCACTTTGATGTGACAAGGGGCAGCCATGGGTGGCCGGCTTCTGCCTTCCTCCAGATGTCTCCCCTCTTCTTGGCGGGCAGACTGCTGTGGGGGTGACGTCACTTTGGGGTCTGGGAAGGTGGGCTCTGCTCGGAGTCTGTTTTCTTGAGGCTGTGGCTTCGCTGGCATGGCGGGAGTGGGGGTCCTGGTGGAGCCCTCTGTGGGCTGGCCAGAGTGTTTCTCTAGAGAATTGGACCTCCAGAATTCTTTGACTTTTCCAACGGGCTGGGTTTCCAAGTCGAGGGCAGATGGCGACAGGGCTATGGTCTTGCCCCCGTTGGCGTGGGGACTCACCAGATTCCCTAGCTCGTCAATCTTAATGGCACCGGTTGAGAGCGAGACTCCTCTGTCGTAACACCTCATCTCTGATTTCGGAGGGACAATTTTATACGTCGTGAGGCCATATTTAAGTCCATAAGTTCCCCCTGGGTTTTGGCCCCGCTGACACCAGGATGGTGGTGCTGAGCCATTACCCTTACCTTCACCTTCCTTGTCCCTCACTGGCTGTGACCTCGCCATCTTGCTGGCCTGCATCTTCCCACCGAGAGCAGAGCCAGGCTCCTCGCCGCTCAGCTTTGCATCTGGCCCGTGCGGGTGAAACGCTGCAGAAGTCACCTTGGGCTCCATCTTATTCAGATTCACAGCCTCACAGGGGTCGGACGAGGCGGGTTTGCGTTCTTCCCCGATGTCGTGGGGAGGAGCGGGCGCGTTGGGCACTTCTGTCCTCCTTCCGTGCTGCTGGTTGTTCTCCTCCTGACGTGGCGTTGGGGGGGCTCCCCTGCCCGCGATAACCCCCAGGTCAAAAGAACCAGCATTGTTGTTTCGATTGGAAGACAACCCCGAATCCACAGGGTCATCTGAAACCTCCCCAATGAAGGTGACTGGGATTGTGTCTTCATCACACTCGGGGACGGTGGCCTCTGGCATGCAGTGAGGGGACACGCCATTCACGGAGCCGGTCGGCAGGCTGCTGCAGGCTTCAGGGCTCTCTTCCAGTTCTGCAAAGAAGGACAAACACAAGTCACAGATTGGCATCGCTGGCATGATTCCCAAGCCAATTACTTAGTGTAATCACACCCTGGCTTTGATTTTCCTGAGGTTATTTTTGGGTAAGTTATTTACATACATTTAAAGTGCCAGTCCAGTTCGTCACCTGCACACGCCTGGGGCCCGAGTCTCAACTCTGATGCCTCGATGGAGGAGCTCTTTGCACAGCCGCGATGTCTCAAGGTAAGGCATTCAGGTACCACACTTTGCCAACATCCTTGGCTTACAAACTGCATCTGTAAATCTGAGCCCCCTGGAAACGCTGTCTCAGCGCAGAACACGGAGGTGAGTTTTGGGTTTTGACCTTCAGCTTACGCGTGTTCTTCAGAAGCACCACAAACCACACGGGGTGATGTGCTCACGCCTTAACTTCTTAAGAGGCAGATGACTAACTGGGCACCTCAGAATTAGCCCTAAGGGATGCAGCCGCTCACGTGGTCACAGCCAGAGGGACACAGGACAACCGATTTAGCCTTTTCAACTCTGTCCAGCACATCTTCTGAGGACAGAAGGCTGACAAGTGAGTAGACTAAGGATCAGCTCTGCAGTCTGTCTCGTTCTGGTTTTTGTTTGAAGGCATGGCCAACACCTACTTTCTAGATTACTGTCAGTGTGTGCCTTTGTTTGAAAGATTCCTTGGTTGTCTACTGAGATCATCTGCATCTGCTTTGGCCTTAGAGTATCATCTCCCCAAAACCTATCTGTACAATAGCAAGCGCTCCACCATAAACGGGTTCACGGCTGAGGCGGTGCGTACTGAATTTCCCTTTGAGATATGCCAAACGTCAGCAAGCAAAGGGGTAGAAGTCTTAGGGAACCTGTTTGCCTCTGTCACCCAGTGTTTCCCAAGCTCGTTTGGGGACTGGAGAACTTCGTTTCCTTAATGTGTGTAGAATCCCTCCTAACGTGCAAAATCAGTTCCATCCAGAGCATCTGAGCAGCTGTTCGCACGTCTCCACAGTACTGTTCGCAGCCCCGATGGAAAGAAATCTCCAGAGCTGTGCTCACCGGCCTGCCCCTCACACCCAGGCTTTCTTCAGACGGAACTGGGTTTCTCCCACCGAACTTTCCCTCATGGAGCCACGCCAAGCACGGCCAGAAAAAAACAACCACCAGAGTCTACCGCCACACAACGTAATACTATAGCCAGACGGAGGGTTGCGCTCACCTTCCAGCTCCTCGTCCAGTTCCTCAAGGGTTTTCTGGAACTGCCCGGTGAGAAACAGGTCTTCATCACCACTGGAGGTTATAGTGGCTTCAGGTCTAGGGAAGACCAGAGAGAAAGGAAGGGCATTCATTTCTCTTATTCTTTATTTCTCTACTCTTTTCTGGAAGTACCCGAGGAAGGCACAACACACAGCCAAGTTCATGCAGTTCTGTACTCACGGGGTCCTGCTGCCCTCGGGGTTGCTGGGACACAGTCCAGGTGTGTGTGCATGCGTGTATGTGTGTGCATGCGCACGCATGTGTGACCGGTAGCAACAATTACAACAGCAGGGACAGTGATAACCGTCCCCCCAAGATCGGATGAAGCACCTCCCAGGGAGGGCTGCCCCTGTCCTTCTGTTCCAGGTACAGCCTGCACACGCCAGGCTCCAGACACAGGGCTTCTGCACAAATTATCTTGTTATAACCCTTACAAGCAATTTTAAGGCAGGTAGTATTCTCGTTGTTTACAGATAGGAAACCAGGTGCCGAGACACTAATGGATCCGCCCAAGGTCATGTGGGCTCCAAACCCTGGCGGGGGGGGGGGGCGGCCACGTCTGGTGCCCAGAGGCACACTGTGGCCCCCGCCACCTGGACATCTAGGAAGATGTCAACTCGCCTGCTGAGGGGAGCCGGAACTCGCCTTATTTGCGTCACGCGGACAATAGCATCCACAGGACGTCTAATGCCAAAACAATTTCAATGCAGCCTTTGCAAGGGCTCTTGTCTCTGTTCTCACTGCGTAGAGAACAGAGACATGTCGAGGGCAATTGTCTAGCTTCAGTGAAAGCTGAAGGTCTTTTCCGCTGATTGTTAAAATTGAGGACCAATTTCCATCCTTGCTACTCAAGCCCAGATAATGATGCATGAAATATGCTTTCCACAATCCTCACTTACGTAGCAGAGTTTGTGTTCTGATAAATGAGTCTTTCTTACTTGGTGGCTGTGTCCTTTTGGGAGCCAGGAAGCGGCTTCCAGATTAGTCTCAGCTAATGTCCTCTGACAAGCCAGACAAAAGGGGTTGGTTGTGTGTGCCTGTGGCCAATTAATGAGGACCAAACAGAGCAAAGGCTCCCTTTCCTACTGCTGTTGCTTGGACTGTAATTGGATGCATTTTCTTAACGTTGTGGTTTTCTCTTTCATGGACCGTGATGGTTTAAGCACATTTAATTTACATAGTTAACAAAATCTGTGGCAGAGAAAAAAGATGCATAGTGAGATATAAAATCGTTTTCGAAACTGAAAATGGTACTTTTATAACGCTTACTCTTCATCTGGGATGCTTAAAGCCCAGCTAAACAAAATTCTGCACGCACTTCTGCTTCAAAGTACTTGCTCTTACTTCAAAGCATGCTAAACCACATCGCTCTATGAGAACAGTGATATTAATGAGAGTTAAAAAGCAGTTTAAAGTAAAAATCCCACTAATGCTCTTGTTTTAGAAATGTTAAACTAGAAACAAGCCATTGCAAGCTGATGAAATGCGGTGAAGCTGAGACCCTCACACTTGTTGCTACCGGAAAGGAATGAAAATGCACATCGAGAAACGAAAACATCGCTTTAACTTTGTAAGAACTTTGGTTCACGAGTCTCCTTTGGTAATTTGTCTTAAGAAAATGATCCTATAGCAAGCGAAACAGAAACACAACAATGTTTGTCGAATTTATGAGAGGAATTAAAAAATATCCAGCAACACTGCATGTTGATTTCAAAGGGGGCTAAAATCAGTCGATTTTGACCCTGGAGTCTATGTGGAGACGAAGATCAATACTTAACAGCAGCATGTTATGTGAAGAAATCAAGACATATGCACAGGAGGAACATGATGATCTAGAAACAGCACACACCCGTGGACAAGGGCGGTAGAAATTTAGACAACCACCACCAACCACTGGGATTTGTTGAAATGAATGAACTACAGTATTTTATCCTTTTTGTCTTGACGTATGCTCATTTTGGTACAAAACAGCTTGAAGGATAGGCAATTTTTTATATATTTTAAAAGACTGTATTTATTAGGGAGAGAGACAGCAGGGGGAGGGGCAGAGGGAGAGAGAGAATCCCAAGCCGACTGCACACTGAGTGCGGAGCCCGACGTGGGGCTCGATTCCACGACACTGAGATCATGACCTGAGCTGAAATCAAGAGTTGGACACTTAATGAACTGAGCCACCCAGGCCCCCCCGATAGGCAATATTTTAAATGGCCAAATTTAAAATAATCCTTTGGGCCCTTCTGACCATGAATGAGAACTCTTTTTTTTTGCAAAGTAGTTTACATTTTTGTGATACAATGCATGATTTGCACAGTACATTATGTTTACAATTTTATTTTGTTAGCAGTGCTTACCAATCCCAGTGAGTAGCTGTCAGCCTGACAACCATAGAGGGTGGCAGAGACAAGGACTTCACCATCTTCCTCAGGGCCAGGCCCCAGCCTGAGCTGCCCCCTAAAAAGCCATCAGTAGCCAAACCCCAAGGGCTTGGGGCTCCTCAGCTGTTCCCCACCTTTCCACAGTCCAAGCCTTCTTGCTGAAGTCTGGGGACCCTACACTGAGTCCAATCCCTCCTGCTTCTGCTCTCTTGAGCCCCGTTTCCTCTGCCTGCTTCAGCGACACCGCACACCCGGATGCTGTCACTCGGTCCCATTCCACCTCTACCCGCCTTGCACCTCACAAGGCCCTCTGACCGGATTCTCCGATGTGGGCCTGGTTTGTTGGGGCCCTGCCTGCCCAAGGGGACAGAGTGGACACAGGATGGGAGCCTCCAGCCTGGGAGGGAGGGTCTGTCCAGGGTCCTTGGCTGGGCTGTTGTTCCCAAGGCTGCTGACCCACTTGGGCCCCTGCAGCTGACTCCTCTCATGATACAATGCAGACGGGTCCCTGCGCTCTGGGCCCTGGGCTCCTCGCCAATGGATTTTTTGGCAAAAGTCAAAGCCAATGTCAACGTATCTATTTTGCTGGGCAATGTAAAATTTCATGAGGGAGAGATTTAGCGATATCTGCTTTTCCTTCCTCATCCACCGCTATCTACTTGCCCCCAAAGGGTTAGCCATGGATTGTGACTATTCCTCTGTCCCTGCAAAAACCAGTCCGAAGCACTTCGTCCCTGAGCTTGGAGGCCAGCATTCTGTGGGCTTAGCAGGACAGCCCATGATGTGTCCCTGGAGTCGAGAGCTGGCAAGAAGCGTCCGCTTCTTTGTAGCTGAAAGTAAACGCGCACAGATGTTCCTCTCCCGGGCACCTTCCGCACCCCCAACGTACACCCCAGTCTTCAGAGAGGTTTCATGTTGACAGTCTGTTTTGGCCTCAGACCAAGAAAAACGAAGAGCAAACAAACAGCGCGGACATTCTGATACCGGGTGGTACACGCTGAATAAACATGACCAGCAGCATTTTCTCACACCGAGTGTGGCTGCAGAGAACACAGCTTGCGGCCACTGCTGTGTCCGGCGTGAGGGATGAAGGGCAGGGGGTGAGGGCATCAGGGTGACCGAGCCCCCCATCTGGCCCATGGTATGGCCTCATCAGCTTCTGGTGAGAGGACACTTGGGAGCAGTCGTGTCAAATCAGCCCTCGGAAAAATAGGTTTTGGTTTTTTGTTGTCATTTTATATGACAAAGAATAAAAGAGCATGGGCTGATTCTGATCCATTCAGGCCTGTGAGGTCATTTCTCTCTCTCTCTCTCTTTTCTAAGATTTTATTTATTTATTTGAGATAGAGAGAGAAAGCAGGAGCAGGGGGAGGGCCAGAGGGAGAGGGAGAGGGAGAAGCAGACTCCCCGCTGAGCAGGGAGCCTGTCACGGGGCTCAATCCCAGGACCCTGAGACCACGACCTGAGCCGAAGGCAGACGCTTAACCGACTGAGCCACCCACGCGCCCCGGTCATTTCTCTTTTTGATGTAGCTAAACGAGTTTTCTTTAAGTAATTTATCCAGTGGCAGAATTAAAAAACAAAAAAGTGTGAGGGGGAAAGAAAATGTCCCTTTCAGGTAGTGATTCAATTTGCTGATGACAACCAAACCGACTCATGCATTTTCAAAACAGTTACTCGATAAACGAAAGAAAAGAAGCTTGGGAAAATCTACAGTTGATGACAGTCATATGTGCTCAACTTCCCAGCCCATTTACAAGCGCTCCTGTATTTACAGAGCCTCAGAGTTCTAGAATCATCGTGTCCCCTAAAAATAGAATAGGAGCCACATGTGTAATTTAAAATCTCGTGGTCAAAAAAAAAAAGAAAAATAGGTGAGATTAATTTTAATTAAGTACTTTATTTGACCACTTTTATTACACCTTAATTAGTATACTTGATTTAACCCAATACTTAAGCCACATTATTATCATCATTATGTATCATCATGTAATTAATATGAAGAGCTCTTTTCTTCACCCCAAAATCTGTGTCTTCTACACTCACAGCACATCTGCATTTGGGTCAGCCGCCTGGCAAGGGCTCAGCCGCCAAACGTGGCCAGAGCTCCTGTATGGAGCAACACAGTTCTGCAAGATCTGGCGTGCTGTGTCTGTACGTATGCATGTATGTATTTTTGGAGTGCTTTTTAAACGCTCCTTTGCAAACATAGTTACAAAGTATCTGGGTTCTAGGATGTATTAAGTGTTTCTAAGTGCTCTCGGGTCACAAAGTTCTAGGGTTCTAGAAGGTGGGAGATGCTAAGCGCTGCTGGTCACAGAGTTCCTGAGGTTGCAGAGTCCTGGGACCCCCCCCCCCCGAGTCCGGCACCAGCCAGTGGAAAGGCATGACCCCGTCTCTTCCAGCCCCTCTGCTGCACCACACACCCTCAGTTCCTCGACGTGACCAGAAACTCATGCCCTACAGGGTCCCACAGGTCTCACCGCTAATGTCCTCATACCTACCACCCGCTGTCAAGCGGGGCTGAGACGGACTTGGGGACGGCAGAGGATGGGGCGTGAGGGGGCATGGCAGGCAAGACTGGGGGGCTCCCTTCTCCTGAAGCTGCACCTTCTTTCCTTTGTGGCTCTAACCCTGCTTTCAGTGGGGCCCTACCATTAACGAACACAGCCTGAAACCCAC